AGGAAACTACATGTAGATTAATGTTAAAGAGTAAAAGCACGCGCAGTTGCAAAGCCAAAAGGGCCTAAGTCTATAGAAATATTTTTTATTCTCAGTAATACATACATAAACATGTTTACATAGTCGTCAGTACACATAAATGGTAAATTACACCACATTTTACATACATTAACATACAGCATACTCGTATTAAATTTAAAATAAAATAGGATTTTAAAAGATCATGGTTGGTAATAGTAATAAAAAATATATAAAAAAATACAATATTAAAAATATTAGATGACATGTTTCATTCTTACGGATGTGGGGCCGAAGTGCATTATAGAATGAAATGAAAGTTTCCCAAATTATTTTTTATGGCTATCGAGTTTTCAAATACTATTTGGGAAAACAATGTTAACCCAGGGACTTAGCCAGATGGTCCTGTTGCCCACCGTCACCACGTGGAGGTGCCCTGGTCGCAGGCACAAGCGATCAAGCGATAAAAAATCAACTGGGGAGGTCATTTGAGAACAAAAAAAGTTTGATTTCAACAAAAAACAGTTCAAAATCTGAGAAAATCTTTCGCCTCATTCAGTTCATACATCAGTTTTTAAAGATATTGCAATTTTTTTGCTACTTTTAACATTTTTCAAGGTTTTTGTACAATTTGTATGATTTAGAACGGTTTATAGTCTAAATAAACTTCAGATTTGTATTCATCGGATCGAAATACATAAGAATTATGCTTGGTTTCGATTCATACATTTTTTTTATTACTAATTATCTTATTTCTACTATTTTTACAATTTACTCGATATTGAAGGGTGGACGGCCCAAACTGACTTGAAATTCGGATTCAGCGGGTCAAAATACATGCCGGTAGGTAGGTCGTGTCTGATGTACAAACAACTTTTTTTTTGTGTGCCGGTGTTATTAATTTGTTGAAGTAAGTTATTTTGTTTTACAATTTTTAGCAATACTTTGTATTTAGTTTTCCCTTGTTTATATAATTTTTTTATGTAGTCAGTTGGTTTGTTTTTAATGACGTCCTGTAAAAATAAAATTAGTTCTTTTTGTCTTTTTATTTCATCTGTATTCATATAACTCAAGTTTTTATTTCTTTTAGGTTGGGATATATTTGGAATTGAGGCATTAAAATGTTTCATAAATGTATCATAAAGTGCTTCAGCTAGTCCTTAACACGCAAATATGTTGCCTGGTCATGTTTGAGAGCTCTCTGTAATACGAGTATATGTAAATATTGTTTGTTCAAAATTAAACTAAAGTAACAAGTCGGTGAGTTGTCTTGTTCTGCTATCAGGTTCTAAAAATTTTACATTAAAATCCCCAAATATGATTCTACTATTTTTGTGTTTAGCTTCTAATAGTAATAAGACATTTGTAAAATTGTAAGAAATATTTCAAAATTAGAATATTGTGAATTGGATCTATATATATATAACAATGAGTACCAGATTAAGCTTTTTAATAAACGCCTCAGTTATTTCACAGTGGATTTCTTTTGACATATTCTTAATTTCTGGAATCTTAGAGCTTTGTAAATTATTGTAAATATATATACTTACCCTACCATGGATATGTGTTTCTCTACAAAAAGTAGTTAAGTTATTAAAATTTGTAAGATTGAAACATGTCGCCTGGTTAGAAAACAGCCAATGTTCTGAAAAGCAAACAATTTTTACGTTTGTCATGTTGTCTATTTGAAGTATTTTGTTTCTAATACATCTCAGTAGATATTAGTTCAAGTCAAACGGCGCTGTGAAGGAGGCATGATGTAAATTATCGTTAAAAAGAGAATTCACTCCCAAAGCCAAAAGGACCTAATTACTTCTTTATTGTCCGTATTTGTCTGGAAAAATGAATCTTTTTTTTTTAAATATCCTATTTTTAACATTTATTTTATTTGCCAAATTTTCGCCAATAACCGAAAAAAGAATTAATCAAAAATTAGTTATGTTTCCATCATTTATCTCTAATTTTTTGAATGTTTATATTTCTTTTGTTCTTGTTACTGATTACATTAATTACGCCTCAAAGATTTTTAGAATTATTTTGATTTTCACTTATAATTTCGATTTTTTATAGTTATTTATAAAGTGTGCAAATTTGTGTCAAATTTTGAAATGGAATGAAAACATTTGCAATTTACAGAGTTCCTCCTAGTTTGAGTGAACCACTCTGTATATATCCGAGATATAGAAGTATGACATCTTGTTATATATCGCTAAATAATAATTAGGAATTTATGTGTCTATTAAATATCCGTAATTATAGAAAATAAAGCAATATTATGACATTTTCAAACGCAACCAGCTGTGATTCATGGTATTCAAATTATTGGTAACGTACACATACACGTGGGTATGCACATAAGTGTCTCGACTTGTTAAGATCAAGGTTATGTTTTGTTGTTCGATAAATTTCGTGAAGTAAAAGTATAACATCAGATACAAATCGATTAAAAAAAAAAACAACTGTAAATAGAATTAAAATCAAAAAAATTTCAGTATAGAATCAACAGAATTTAATAATTAAAGTAATAAGGAAGTACCTCATAGAATTTTTAGTATTTGGGAACAATGGAAAATATATCCTGAATTTATTTAAAAAAAAAGTAAATATCCGGTCACATGACCGGATTCCCTACACCGGAAAATACCCGCAGGCATTTTTATTGTTCTCGATTTCTAAAAGCATATTATTTCATTTTGGACAAAAAATCTATCGATGCGCAATTTTAATTTTAATTTCAGAGGATATATGATAGCTCTCACCGCCGGAACATAGTACAACTTGTACATCCCATCTTCTGCACCCAACTGCAATGAGCGGGCAAAAAAGTGACATGCCACTTTATGCAGTCAGCCGAGGGGTAAACCACTGATCTAAATTTTGTACATCTACATCCTTTTGGTAGAAATAAATCCTTATAAAGCCTCATATTTTTTTGTAAATCGTTAAACACGATACCTTGACGGAAATCATACATCATAAATCCTTCATACTTCCTTCGAAATCCTTATGTTACAGATCGGCTATGTTTTTTCTCAAATTATCGTGGTCTTCCGTCGTATCGGGTAGAGTTTTGGACTGAAGAACTAGGTGATGTATGAAAGTTTTGCTGCTTGATTAAAAGGTGTTGTGGAATGCAGAAATTAAAGTACTTTGCTTCTAATAATAACTAGTTTTATTTTAACTTTTTAAACTTTGAATTCAATAACCACAGCAAACAGTTGAATGATGAAAATATTTTTACTGTAACCTACCTCACCCAGGTACCTTAATAATTTATTAATTCCATTTATTAAATAAAATATTGCATTCTTAATAAATTCAAAACCCTTTATTTAACAAATAATCTCCCAGATAATTAAATCTTATTTACGACACCTAATAAATAATATCTATAACCCTGTTCGTAAAAGATCCAATTTTCGTGCACGTATCTGGGAACCGCCGTACAACATAAATTTTGTCACGAAGTGGTAATCATTGAAACACTTAACGCACTAATTTTAAATGCGTTTGAATAATAATGTTGTTTCGGTACACAAATTTTTCAAGGCACCCAGATTCGTTTCCCACTGGAACTAAGACAAACTGACGTCACAAAAAGCCATTAAAACGGGTATAAAAACCCGAAACTGCGGAGCTAGAGTCATTAATTTTTTACTATTTGATATTTATTTATTCATTTATTATTTGTATCCAATTATATTTCAAGTTTAGTGGTCAGTACCTTTCCTAAAACGCTCTTCCTAAAAAACGTCTATCCTACAATATCTCCTATCCCTCGAACCCTGTCACGTCCCCCACCGCTAGTGGTGGGCCTAACTGTGATTTAAGTGTAGCTGCGACAAGACGTGACTGCTCCAGTCTTGTCACAGTGACAAATAGCAGCGATTTTTTGAAGTAGTTTAACTTTGGCCGTGCTGCTACAATGTTACATACATATTACTGTTCCTTGCGTCGCAGCTCCACCTAATTGTGGTTGTTGATATTTAATATGATTTAGGCTTTTATTTTATGCTGCTAAAATTAACAGCAATACACGGATTACAGATCAGATATATCTAGTAAAAATTGGAGTTTACATAAATACATGCCTTCATCAGAATATTCATTCATAGTATTTATTTAATCAGTTTATGAATTACTAGTTTTTTTTTTTAAATTTGGTGTCATCGGCATTGACTACTAAAGCCATTAGCCTCGTGTTCTGTGTAGGCTTTGTTACTGTTTCCCAGCGCCACTTTAGGAACAGCACTGTTAATTAGAACCCAACAGTGAATGGTCGAGTGGGGAATCCTACCAAGGCATCAGAATTAATTTTAAATAAATTAAATAAAAAAATCCCGACCAACGGTGGATCCACAGGTAGAGACTCTACCACTAAGCCACCCATCCCTTGAATTACTAGTTATTTAAATTATTGGATTTTCCTTTCTGTAAATCAAAAACGTGGCATCTCTGCATCGCCTTGCGCTGTGATTTTTGGGAATCCTCCTTTCAAGTATTTATAGTTCAAGTTCAATGATACTTGTATTTATCGATTTTCTTATTTTTGCACTATTTGCATTATTTCACGTAAAGCGGTGCCAAACTAAAAATCTAATAATTTAGCAGCAATGAACAGAACAAAGACTTTTTTTCTGTGGAATTTTTTCAATAGAAAATGACACAATAGCAAAGTGTAATTTACGTAAGCAGGTTGTTAGTTTCAAAACATCTACATCAAACATTTAGAACGCAAACACCCACTAGTGAGATTAAACTCTGAAGAATCAACAACCAAAGGTACGAAAGATGTCAGCAGCAGACAGATTCCAACAGAAAACGATACTGCAGTGCGGCCAAGTACATCTACATCTCCATCCTCACAAAATACTGAAGTAAGACCTTTAAGCACTATTAAACGAAAACCATTTCAAGCAAAATTGCCATTTATGCCAAAGATCATAAATATTCATACAAAAAGCAAATTGCACAAGTGTTTAATGGATCTATTCACAAAATATATGCAACCTTTCACCATCGTAGAAAATCAAGGATTCAGGAATTTTGTGCAAATGTTAAACCCATCGTATCAGTTACCAAGCCGAAGCCGAAAATATGTATTCCATTTTGTAAATGAGGACTTTCCGGAAAAATCCGTATTATTAGAATGCTGTTCTTTTCCTGAGGCTCATACTAGTACTAATTTAGCAGCGGAACTTAATCGTATAGTAACTATGTGGGGATTAGAATCAAAAATTCTTTTAGCAGTGTCAGACAACGCAGCAAACATTAAGAAGGCAATAAAAGAAGATCTAGGATGGAAGCATTTTGGATGTTATGCTCATACTATAAACTTAATTTTACAGGATGGGATAAAAGTAGTTTCACCAATTGTCACCAAGGTTCGCACATTATTGGCACATTTCAAAAGAAGTACTAATGCCAGTAATAAATTGATGGAAGTACAAAGACAAGCCGGAAAAGAGCCAAAAATACTTATTCAAGATGTTGTGACCAGATGGAATTACACTTTCTATATGCTCGATAGAATTTTGGAATTAGAGGAAGAAGTTCGCACAATTATGGCCTTACTAAATATGAACAATCTTCCCAGCATATCAGTTGAAGAATGGGGACTACTTCAATAGCTAAGGAGGTGTTTGAAACCAATGGAGGAAGTTACCAAAGTGATAAGTGGAGAGAAATATGTGACTTTATCATTAGTGATAATTTTACCAAAAGGACTGGAAAATATTTATTTAATTCAAGATATGGTCGGGCAATTTCTAAAGGGAATTTCAGATCAACTGGGGTACTTGGAAAATTCTCAAACTTTGCTGGTGTCTACTTTTCTGGATCATAGATTTAATAATGTCGGATTTTCTTGCGATAGTGTAGCTGAACGAGCCAAGCAGTTAGTAATAAAACTGATATCTCAAAAAATTGTTTTTAAATCGAAGGAAACAGCAGACTCCTTCCACAGATGACAACACCGAAGTCGGTTCTGTATACCAGCCTTCTATATGGGGCCATTTTGCAAAAAAGCTGCTTTTTTTTCATCCAAAGCACCTGTCAGACCTGCCACATCAAGAGCCGTTATTGAGGTCCATCGATACTTGGAGGAAGATCTCTTGGATAGAACTGAAGATCCGCTAAAATGATGGCGTGATCACTCTTACAACTATCCACATATTTCAAAAGTTATGGTAGAAAAATTTGGTGCAGTCGCAACATCTGTTCCTTGTGAACGTATTTTTTCCAAATTGGGACAATTAATATCCGAAAGACTATCACGCCTTAGTGAAGGTAGAGTACAAAAATTAATGTTTTTGATAATAGCGATCTTTAGATTTGTGTATATTTAATAATGGATAATAATTAATAATTGATTAGGAATATCTAAATATAATTACCTTAATTCTTACCCCTGGTGTATTATCGAGAGTACTATTTTGTTTTTAATCCAAAGGTGGTGCTGTATTTTTGTTTCACTTTATTAATAATATTTCATTTAGTAGGTATTAGTTCTATATCGTTTTTGTAGACCAAAGATATGTGTCGATTTTTCTCAGTTTTTTTGTGTTAAACAAATATTTCTTTACTTAGGTAGAGGAATATTTTAGGCAATAATTTTTGTTAATACTGTATACTGTTTTGTTTTAAATTCAGGTTTTTCTATAAATTGAAGAAATATAGAATTTATTTTAATTCCTGTTTTTTACCACAATCGAGCTTTTTATTAGATGAGATATTATCGTTCCATATAATCTCAAATAACAAATAAAAGCGATCTGCTTGCTCCCGATATCCGTTCCATTTTCAAAGTCTCGTCCCAAACACAATCCCAAGAACAGCGTCGTTTCACAGAGCAGAGTCGCGGTCCGCGGACCGAAATGGTGCAAAATTGCAAAGCAGCAGAATTAAACGTGACTGTCACGGCTATTTTATATCAGCTGGAACAGACTGTGACAGCGTTGTAGCCGTGACAAAGTATCAGTTCGTGAAATCGCAACCCACCTCTACGCACCGCCTTAATATTTCTACCGTATATCTGTCCCGATGCAGTACCGTATTAAATACCTTCCTCTTCACCACGACGCTAGGCGCCTCGACGCAAGGCAACGCTTAACGCTGCGACGTACCAAAATCGACGCTGTCACAACGCTAGATGAAATTAGCACTATATTGTCAATGGCAAAAATTTATGTGCAAAGATTTATGTAACTTTCTTTGAGATACCACCGGAGTTTTGGTTTACTCTTCGCAGTCAGCTGAGGGAATATAATGATAGAAGTATGGAGAGGTTAATCAATGGGTACTTTTCTTGAAGGAATAAGATGTATTCAGATTTCATATATAATTAAAGGTAATCGTTTCATAAAATTCTGAATAGCTTGCCAGCATATATTCAGTAGTAATACCATAAGTACTTCAAAATAATCAGGTTATACATCGATAACTTGTTGCATAATTATAAAGAGTGTCAGTTTGACAGTTTAAATAATCCGACCGCGAAGCGGGAGGATTATTCTGTCAAACTGACACGATTTGTAATTATGCAGGAAGTTTGAGATGTATAACCTGATTATTTTGAAGTACGTATTGTATTTGATACGATTATTTTTTGAGTAAATTAAGTAAATATCAACAATTTATTAATTTAAATACATATTGGTACAATGAAAATTACAATTATTAATTATTGATAAACGTCAAAATTTGACGGTCCTGTTAGTTAGTGTATTGTTGTCGATGTGGTTACTACGGAAATGAAATTATTGTAAATATTTTTGATTGGTGGAGCTACTCTATGTATAATCAGGTATTATCGAAATTATACGAGGTAACTTAACTAAATTGAACGTTCTAATTGGTTAAAAGTTATACGAAAAAAATAATCAACAATATTTGACATTATATATAGATAGGTAGATATATGACGGATACAAACATAATAGAAAGTAGAAATTGTAGTGTGAAGACAAACCTCACCCAACATCATTTTAATACAAAGTAAACAATAGTTTTGTCTCAAGTTGGAGACTTGGGGAACATCATGAGATGGAGCACAAAACTTTGATTTACAGATTATCTTTTCGAATCACTATTATAAACATATTAAATTCCATCTCAGATTTTTTTCGCAATTAAGTCAAATTCTTTGCTCACGCTAGTTCTTGACATTTAGTAGTACCGTTTTATTAATATTCAAATTGGAAAGATGAAGAAAAAAAAGTCTGAATTAAATAACTAGGCATCGCGCTCATGTAATCTGCAACTGTGGATGATGTCATTGCGTTTATCTTCGTGAAAAACCAATTTAAGTGCCTTTATCGAACTTCCGCGTTTTAATAAATTAATAACGAGAAATGAAGTATGTAGTATAATGGTATGTTTATTATTGCTTTTGCTATTTGAGAAGCGCTTGATTGTTTTATCGGATTCTTGGTATAAATTAGAAAAATATCATACCGTCATTATGGCTAATTTTAGATGAGATATTCAATATTAGAATGATAAATAATGTACTGCTATGCCAAACTTTCAAGGAAAGGAAAAATTGCTTCTTAAAAATTCTGATCGATTACATGCTTATTTTTTCAAAGGGGTATAAAAAGCGACCATGTTTTGAAAAGTAGGAAGCGGGACAAATGGAAAATCGTCGACGAATTCTATTTTGCAGTAGTGACGGTTTGGTTTCATTGAAGAGCAAAAAAAACCGTCACCATAATTGGACAAAGTGGGACAAAACTATTTTTATTCGTATAAAAGCGAGACAAAATCGGGATAAATGTTAAATCGGGACTAGTGGTTTAAAATCGGAACTGTCCCGCCTAAATCGTCAAATGTGCACGTTATAGTCACAAGTATGATTCTACTGAACTGCATGCGTCACGTGAGACGCAGGTTGCCAACCCCTGCTCTAGAACATTCTCTATATTTTTTAAAATGTCACTAATACTTCCCAAATTAATAGTGTACAAAGTTCGTTAGAAAATACGAGGTGTGGCAATTAAATAACGAGAATTTTAAATTTGAAAACATTTATTTAATATTTACAATGATTTATGCACCCATGCCTTCACAGTACACTCCTCCGAGTCTAACACACTTGGTCCAACGTTCTTCCCATTTCTGGAAGCACCTCTGGAAGTCTCCAGAAGTTAGGTTCTTCAACACCGACGTTACGGCACGTTTAATGTCCTCCAAATCCTTATAGCGATGTCCTTTCATTGGTTCCTTCAACTTTGGAAATAGCCGGAAGTCCAGTGGAGCCAGATCAGGGCTGTACAGGGGGTGGGGGAGCGTTGTTATGTTCCTACTGGTCAAAAACTGTTGAACTTTTAATGATGTGTGAGCAGGAAATTTTTGCACAGAGCTTGCGCATCAATAAATCATCGTGTAACATCTGGCGAATGGTTTCTTTATTAATACCGAGTTCATTTGACATTATTCGCGGATTGTGAGGCGTCGATCTGTCCGCACCAACATTCTCAAACGTAAGACATTTTGAATAGTGTGCACAATTTTAGGAGCACCTGACCTTGCATCGTCTTGCGTTGATTCTCGACCTGATGCAAAACGTTTGGCCCATTCGTACACACGTGGTTTTGATAAACAGTAATTACCGAACTACAATTTACGAAAAATTTCGGCCGATTTTTCGCCAGATTTCACTAGAAACTTGATAATTCGTTGCTCATTTTTCACGTCACACATTTTTGTACGTCACGACAGTATACTACTAAATTTAAAAAATCGCAGAGCACAAAATATTACACCAATCACTATCAAACTTGGCAGAGTTGTGTGCAATCGCGTGAACTTTACGTCAACAAATTTTCAAGATGTCAGTGTTACCACTATGGGAGTTAGAAATAAATTCTCGTTATTTAATTTCCACACCTCGTATATTAGATCTTATCATTGTTATTAAGAATATCACACAGCTCGTGATTATTCACCTTTTATTGGCAGAGAAGACGCATTGCCCCATATTTAAGAATAACACTGAATACCGATCATCCAGCTTCCCCAATTTTGCCCACAATGCTGATTCCCAAATGTATAATCCAAAAAGGCTTATTTGGTTCCCGAATAATTCTTTTTTTCCTGGTCTTAACAATGCTTTGTCCTATAGATTGAACATTGCTAGATATTTTAGAGGTTGTAAATCGAATGTGTGAAGTTTTCTATCGAAAGACTTGCTCAAACTTTGTTTTCGTGCGATATGGCATCACATCCACTCCTGTTACACAAACGACTATTAACTCTTACGAGGAGGGCCTTCTATGGAGAGGACCCTGCCCTGTAGAAAAAGCTCTGTGCGTCCCCTCAAGATTACCTTCATTACTTCTGCATAGTTTTTTATTATTAAACTGTTATTAAATAATCAGTCTTGTACCTGTTTGCAAGTTAAAACAAATTCATGACATAATTAAACCAGGTTTTATGTACAGGGTGTTTATATAAAGACTACCTACACTGCACCTATGAACTTTTCTTTTGCGATGTCGTCGAAAGACTGACGAAGTTTTCTTTTGTCATATGTAAACGTGGATTCAATCTTCATAACTGTGCGTTTTGGCCTGCAGGCCATATCGGAGCATGTAGGGACTCCATTACTTTAATGCAGTGTGACTCAAAA